AGTGACAAATATGAAATGACACATCTATCAAACTAAGCATAGGGAAATACAATTTCAGTCAATATAAAATGTACCAAAAAATAAGTTCTCTTTTATAGTTATTAAAGGGAGAAGAAAATAAATCACTCAGAGAAAGACAAATACCATATGATTTCACTCATATGTGGAAAATAAACAAAAACATAGATAAGGAGAACAGATTGGTCGTAACCAGAGGGCAGGGGCTGGGGGAGGGTGAAAAGAGTAAAAGGACACTTGGGTATGGTGACTGATAAAAACTAGACTATTGGTGGTGAACACGATGGAGTCTATACAGAAGCTGCAATATAATAATGTACACCTGAAATTTACGCAATGTTATAAACCAATGTGACCCCAATAAAATAATTTAAAAACAAAGAGATGTGATTAACAGATAAGAGAAAGGGAGGAGAAGAGAGACTATAAGAATGGAGGAAGAAGGATAAATGAACACAGATTCCCAGCAACCAAGAGGAGTCATAAAGAAAGAAAGGGGATCTGTGGGCTGGGGTGAATGTCAGACGTAGGTAGGTGGAGAATTTTTTTGTTATTATTACGAGCTTTATTGAGATATAATTCACATACCATAAAATTCACCCTTTTAAAGTGCACAATTCAATATGTTTTAGTATATTCATGGGGTTAACGCAAATGTCATCACTATCTATTTTTAGATAAAAAAATAAGAAAGAAACCACATACCCATTAGCAGTCACTCTCCATGCCCCTCCCTTTCATCTGACACCCCAACCTAGCCCTAGACAGTCTCTATTCTGCTTCCTGCCTCTGTAGGTTTACCAATTCCAAACATTTCTTGTAAATGGAATCATCCGATACTTAGCTTTTTGTGTTTTTTTTCCCCTTAGTATGTTTTCAAATTTCAACCATGTTATAGCATCCATCAGTATTTCATTCATTTTTATTGCCAAATAATATTCCACTGTACAAATTTACCACATTTTATTTATTTATTCATCAGCTGATGACATTCGCATTGTTTCCACTTTTTGGCTATTGTGAATAATGCTACCTTGAACATTCGTATACAAGTTTTTTGTGGGAGTATATTTTCATTTCTCTTGGTTGTCTACCTAGGAGTGGTAGTTTTGGGCCATATGGTAATTTTATGATTAACTGTTTGATAAACTGTCAAACTGTTTTACAAAGTGACTGCACCATTTTCAATTCCCATCAACAATGTATGAGGGTTCCAGTGGCTCCACATCATTGCCAACACTTATTCTCTCTCTTTTTGATTATAGCCATCTTAATGGGTATAAAGTGATATGTCATTGTGATTTTGATTTATTTTCCTAATGACTAATTATGTTGAGTATCTTTTTATGTACTTGTTGGCCATTTATGTATATTTAGAGAAATGTCTATTCAAATATTTTGTCCATTTTTAAATGGGGTTATCTTTTTATTATTGAGTTGTAAGAGATTTTCATATATTCTGGATACAAGTATAAGTCCCTTATCAGATATATGATTTGCAAATATTTCCTACCTTTCTGTGGATTGATTTTTTTCACATTTTTTATAGTATCCTTTGAACCACAAGAGTTTATGGTTTCGATATAGTCCAATTTATTTGTTTTTAATTTTGTTCTGAGCTTTAGGGCTGTATCTGAAAAACCATTGCCCAATCCAAGGTCATAAAGATGTACTCTTATGTTTTCTTCTAAGAGTTTCAAAGTTTTAGCTCTTATATTTAGGTCTATGATCCATTTTGAGTTAATTTTTGTGTACAGTGTGAGGTAGGGGTTTAACATCATTCTTTTGCATGTGTATGACCCATTCTCCCAGCACCATTTGTTGAAAAGACTATTCTTTCCTCCCTTGAATGGTCTTGGCACTGTAATAAAAAAATCAGTTGACCATAGACAGGGTGGTTTATATCTGGACTCCCAATTCAAGTCCACTGATTTATATGTCTATATTTATGCCAGTACCACATGTCTTGATTAGTGTGGCTTTGTAGTAAGTTTTGGAATCAGGAAGTGTAAGTCCTTTGACTTTGTTCTTCCTTTTTAAGATTGTTTTGGCTATTTGGGATCCCTTGTTAATTCCATATAAATTTGAGTATAGGCTTTTCCGTTTCTGCAAGGAAGCCAGCTGGGATTTTGATAGAAATTGTGTTGAATCTGTAGATCATTTTGGGGGGTAGTGCCATCTTAAGAATGTTAAGTCTTCCAATCCATGATGTGGGATGTCTTTCCATTTATTTAGAAGTCTTTAATTTCCTTAATTACGCTTTGTAGTTTTTAGTTATATTTTTCACTCCTTTTGTTAAATTTATACCTAGGTATTTTATTTCTTTTGATGCTATTGTAAAAATGATTGTTTTCTTAATTTTATTTTCAGGTTGTTTATGGATAGTGTATAGAAATATAGTTGATTTTTGTATGTTGATCTTGAATCTTGCAACCTTGCTAAACTTATTAGTTCTAATATTTTTTTAGCAGATTCTTTAGGATTTTCTATATTCAAGATCATGCCATCTGCAAATTAAGATAGTTACTACTTCCTTTCCAATCTGAGTGTTGTCCCTCTTTTCTTGCCTAATTGTCGTGGCTAGAACCTTCAGTACAATGTTGAATAGAAGTCGTGAGAGTGAACATCCCTGTCTCGATCTTGATCTCAGGAGGAAAGCATTCAATCTTTCAACATTAAGTATGATATTAGCTGTGGGGTTTTCATAGATGACGTGTATCAGGTTGAGGAAGTTCTCTACTATTTCTAGTTTGTTGAGTGCCTTATTTTGGTAGGGTGTTGGATTTTGTCAAATGCTTTTCATATGGTTTGGTTTTTTTTCTGTTAATATTGTGTGGTACATTTCCTAGGATAAATCCCACTTTGCTATGGTGCATGATCTTTTTTATGTGTTGCTGCATACAGTTTACTAGTATTTTGTTAAGGATTTTTGTGTCTGTTTTCATAAGGGATATTGGTTTGTCATTTTCTTTTCTTGTGATATCCTCATCTTATTTTGAAATCAGTGTAATACTGTCATAGAATAAGTTAGAAATTGTTCCCTCCTCTTCTACTTTTTGGAAGTTTGTGAGGATTGGTTTTAAGTTTTCTTTGAATGTTTGGTAGAATTTATCAGTGAGGCCATCTGACTCTTGGCTTCTCTTTGTGGAAATATTTTTAGTTACCAATTTGATATCTTTACTTGTTATAGAGCTACTGAAACTTTCAATATCTGCTTGAGTCAGTTCCAGGAATTTGTGTCTTTCTAATAATTTGTCCCTTTCATCTATGTTATTTTGTGTATTGGCATACAGTTGTTCACAGTATTCATTTTTAGTCACTTTTATTTCTTAAAGTTGGTGGTGATGTAACCTATTTCATTCCTGAGTTTAGCAATTTGTCTTCTCTCTACACCCCCACTTCTTCTTGGCTAGTCTAGTTAAAGCTTGTTAATTTTGTTGATATTTTTAAAGAATTAAATTTTGGCTTCATTGGTTTCCTCTATTGTTTTGCTATTCCCTATTTCATTTGTCCTCTCTATAAGTTTCCCTCTGAGCGTTGCATTCACTGTGTCACATAAGTTTTGGTACCTTGTGTTTTCATTTTAATTCATGTCCAATTTCTATTGTTGAATTGTCTATTCTTCCCTTCAATTCTGTCAGTTTTTGCTTCATGTATTTTGAGGTGCTGTTGTTAGGTGTATATATGGTCATAATTTTTGTATCTTCCTGATGGATTGATCCTTTATCATTATGAAACTCTGTCTTTAACTCTAGTAACATTTTTTGTAGTAAAATCTATTTTTAAAATCAGATATAGGCATAGCAACTCCAGTTCTCTTTTGTTTACTATGTGCATAGTATATCTTTTTCAATCCATTTACTTTCAACCTATTTGTGTTTAGTGGACAGCTCTTTTTTTATGATTTCCATGTTTTTAAACTTCATTTTTAAAATGATCATATAATACGATTCACACTTTTCTTTTGATGTACAGTTCTATGAATTTTAACACATGTGTAGACGTGTGTAACCATGCCCATAATAGGTCGAAAATAATTCCATCACTCCCCAAACTCCCTTGTTTTATTTCTTTGCAGTCACACCCTTCCTGCAAACCCAATCCCTAGCGTACAGTGATATTCTCCCTAGTGGAGAATTCTTATTACACCATCACAGGTTAGGGATTCATATTACATTATTATCATTATCAGTATTATCTGGCATTTGTTTTGTTGATTAGCCACTGCTGATAGTCTTTTTTCTTCAACGCTTCTGAGGCTTTGTATTGAGTTATGTAACTACATCAGTGTGAAGAGTTAAGGGTAGGTGGGGATTATTTTCTGGGCTGCAATATTGATTAGAGTCGTGTAACTGTAGAAGATTCTTGGAAGAGTTGACACGAAATCAAGATGCAGCTGAGGCTTGAGCCTTACCTAAGGGCTTTCAGGGCTAGTATTTTCCACCAAAACTGGGGACACTACTAGAGCATTGTTGTATTACCTGCTCTGAATGGTAGCCTAGAAATTCAAGGTCTTTGGTGCTAGCTGAGCACCAACTACGCAATGGTAAACGCATGCCCTAGTGTGCCTGGTATCCTGTCTCATCCTCCCCCTCTCCGATTGGCTCTGGAAAGCAAATAGAGGGTAACAATAGGAGTTCTGGAATGCTCCGGTGTGGGGTTCACCTTTGTATCACTGTTAATCCTTGTCTTCTCTTTTCAGAGACAGGGGATTAAGTTCAAACTGAACGGAAATCTTTTCTGGGCCACAGGGCTGAGCTGCTTCGCCCTCTTTGAAAATCCAAAGGATTTAACAGGATTTTCCCCTTCTCACCCCCTGCCCTCCGCCCCGACCTTCACACCTTCCCAACACCAGGGAAAGGCAGGAAGTTTTCCCTGTGGTTTTTCTTTGTGACGACATGATGGGGCAAGTTGATCAATGGGGAAAACCCCACGTGAGAACACGCCTTCTCTGTACATTCCCAATATTTGCTATAAGTAGAGCCATCCCAAGCCTAGGCTGATGTCAGAACATAACAGCACTCCCAAGGCACTGGGCACCCAGCACTGAGCAGATCCTTTGAGCTGAAAATGAAGTACAGTGGCAAGAGTTTGCTCCTGGCTGCTTTGATGTCGGTGCTGCTACTCCACCTCTGCAGCAAGTCGGAAGGTAAGTGCCATTCTGTCTGCTAGCACTGGAGGAAAAACTATTTTCATTTTCCACTAAGCCGTGAGCTTATCTGGGGGTCCCCAAGGGATGGAAGCCTGTTAGAAAGTCTTCGAAAGGGAGTGATGGGAGCTGTCAGCTCGTTGGTGCGTGGATGAAGGAAAGCTTGCTGCTGCCGATCAGGATTTCCTTTCTGCTGTCAATCAATCCTGGCAGATTTTGGGGGTGGGTGGACTCTTAGAGACCCCAAGCTCGAGAACAAGGTCGGAGTGCTATTTCTGAAAGTGATGTAAGTTGCATAACATTACCAGCGAATGAAATGTAGGGAACACTCCCACTTCCCACAACTTTCTCACCTCCCAACTAAATAGTTTCAGTAAGGTTCAAAATTCATCCTTCTGGAGTGGATTATGGCACCTGACTTCTTCATTCTTGCAAGGCCTTGGGGACATCGCTTGCCAACTTTGAGATAACATTATCCCTTACCTTACAGCAGGTTATAATTTAACTTGGGGGAGTGTCTAAGTATTGCTTTATTACTGAGAGCACATCACTTAGCAACAGGTGCATTCCTGAAAATGCACGTGTTGAACTTTTATGAACAAAATTAAAAATTCCCATTAACTAATATTACAATTTCAAAGTGCTTTAGTTGTATCTCCTGTAAGCAGCTCCTATAAATCACATTTTCCTTCTTGTTCTTCCCCTCCTCCCAATACTCATAACCAGATAATAGATTAAAATCTGCCAATTTGTTCATTTTCTGAATTTGGAAGTTTATCAAGAGTTTCTTCAAGTGGGAGATACTCATATTCTTGTCAATTTATATTTCTTACTAAAGATATTCCTTTTAGGAGAAGTCACATGCTTCTCAACTGTATTATTGAACCAAAATTTCCCAGCATGCAAACTATTTTTTTAAGAGAATTGCCCACTATGTTAAGTTGGGTCTCAAAGATGTTGGAACTGTTCCTCTGAATGGTTTATTTACCATATAAATCATATTCTAGGTTTTCTGCAACTTCAAGTAGTTCCATAATACCTATCACAGAATAAGTTCATTCAGGTGGACTCAATACCTTTTTTTCTTTTTAGCAGCAAGCAGCTTTGACTGCTGCCTCCGACATACAGAACATGTTCTTCATCCCAAATTTATTGTGGGCTTTACCCAGCAGCTGGCCAATGAAGCTTGTGACATCAGTGCAATCATGTAAGTTATTAATTGATTTTAATTCAGTTGCATCAGGAGTACATGGGAATTTCAGATATAAAAAATTTTGCCTGTGTGGAGTATCATCCAGAAATAACTGATGTGGCAAAAATAGCTTTCTTTTAGTGGTACGTATCTACTTCAAAGTTCACTGTAAATAGGACTAGAATAAGACAAAACTTAGTTTTTTTAAAAAAGGAACATAGTTGAGGGCAAAATCACTTTCTAAGGTAAACTTAGAGGCTACTAAAATGCTGTCTCAGGGAAATATGGAAGATATAAAGTTTGAAATGAGCATCTTCTATCAGAAAATGTTTGGAGCTGTAAGTAAAAACTCAGTAATTATACTGTCACATATAATCTTCTTGATTTATGCAGGATATAATACTTTGGAATAATATACGTTATTGATTAGCTATATACATATTTCATGTAGCCAGCACCAACAAAATTAAATAATGGTTCTGGGACTTTATCTCCTGCCATTACACAACCACTTGTCAAACTGCAGAGAAAGTCAGGGAGAATTGCTTTCATTTTTTGCATCAAGCTTTATCAGAAGCATTTTTTTTTGTGCATTTTGTTTCACCTCTGAATGAAATAAATCAAATGCTTAGTGTACAGAGCAATCAATTAGAATATGAAATTTCCATTGCGTGTTCTGTGAAAAAATCCATTTAAAGACTCTTTAAACACAAATCAAATTTTCTGATTTTTCAGCTTTTACACAAAGAAAAAACTAGCTGTGTGTGCAGATCCAAAGAAGAAATGGGTGAAACAAGCTGTGCACATCCTCAGGTATGGAACATTCACAATCAGCCTCTCTCAAAGTGTTTGGGGGCAAGGGCAGTGTGCAGACTTGTGGATCCTAGGCTCACTGAGATTCTTTAGTCTAAACACCGTGGAATTTTTAAAGGGCAAATTTGAGTTAGACTATGAAAACAAAAGTTAATTTTTTCCACGTATAGATCATTTTTATTATTTTAAAAATATTTTATTTATAATATAATATATATTTTATTTATGTTTTTTAATTTAGTGATTTTTCACATAGAGGAATCTATGTGGTAGTCACTAGCTGCTTGATTCTTGCTGCAAAGATACCTAGTATTTATATAATTTACAGACCACATGACATCTGATTGTTTGTCAAACACGGAAAAATAAACGGTTAAAAAGAGATCAATGGTTCCGATTTGCTTTGAGGATAATAGAGAGGTACGTCTTATCAATGGACGGCAGTCACCTAACACCACGGTACCATAGACACTGAACTTGAAGACAAATAAGTGTTCATATCCTGTTTCTGTCATTAGATAGCTGAGTTATGTGGGCAAGATCCATCCTCTCTGAGCCTCGATTTGCTCATAAGGATTCTGAGCTGCTTGGCATTTGGAGTTGTGATTAGGGAATGAGAGTCCATCTTTAGGTACCCAAGCTATTCCTGCCAGCTAGTCACTCTGTCTTTGCTTATTCTTTTCTCCTTTTTCTCTTTACAGCCAAAGAGTCAAGAAGATGTAAAAACCGATGCTCTCTGGAATGAATTGGACACAGTCCAAGAATGAAAAGAACCTAGCTGGAGTTGGTGGTTTCATTCGCACATCGCTGAGGGTTTAGCACTTATCTGATTTGTGCCTCATTGGACTGGTCCAGTTAATGAAGTTGATTCATATTGCATCATAGTTTGCTTTGTTAAGCATCATATTGGAGTCTAACTCTATTTTATGTTATTTATATATGTGAGTTTTTGTGTTTTGCTATTTAATGCTAATTTCCCTTAAGCTATTTAGTTTAGTCTGAGGTATGAAATTATGTTTGGAGGAATGAGATTATATGGACTTTCTTCTAAGCAGCAAGCTGTTTTTAAAAAACTATTTAACAATCTTCTATTTACTTAGTTTTATTTCCTAAATGTTGTAATTACCTTGTAAAAGAGAAAAATGATGATGAGATGAATAAATATTAAAAATAAAAGAATCAAAAATTGTTTGTTGATTGAATTACATAAGCATTTATTAAGCTGTATATTAAAAATATTTAAAGGTATAGTAAAGATGAAAATTTTCTGAAAAATTATATTCCCTATTTACTTCTTCCTGGTTATTCCCTTTATCTCTGTCCTTCGTGGTGCTGAACACCATTCTATATGAATTATAATGGAAAGGTTTTTTCTTCTTTTTTTGATTTGAAGTCATCCAAACCAAAAATTAGAAAGATCCTATATCTGAGATTCATAGCTCAGTCTTTGTTGATATAAAACTTTTAAAAATAAAGAAGCATACCCATATACTTTGTGACTACAGAGACACAACAACTGTTTAGAAAATACCTTGAGAAATCACTTAGTCCATCATTCTGTCACCCGACAGGGGCCTAAGAATGGGCATCTTAGCACAGGAACATTTTTCCACTTCAGAAGTCCTCTTGAGTCATCTTTAAGTAGTTTCCAAACAGGAAATGACTACACAGAGGGTTCTTAGAAAATAATTGCCTCACTAACCAGAGAAGAGACTTCAAATGTGTGAAACCTAGCAAGAACCCAGAAATAAGACAGAAGGACACTCTTAGTATAGATACTGTCACAACATTTATGCACCAGAGTTCGTGGAGCATCTCGACACAGCGCTCCGGACAGTCTGCCTCAGATTCCAAAGGCCACGAGGGATCAGTGGAGGCAGGCACACCACATGATGTAATGCAAGATCCAGACACGCAAATCCATAAAACAGGGCCAAACTGTAAGTGGCTCAATAGGCCCTGAAGGCAGCTCTGTGCCCAGAAATGACAACATTGAGTCATCAGGGAAAGTATGCTTAATATCCTGTTTGTTCATTCATCAAACATAGGTTAGCACATATTAAATGCCAGGCACCGAGCCAAGTGAAGCTTGAGACACCAAGAGATAAAGTTAGGGCTTGGTCCTTGCTCGCAGATAATTAGGGCTAAGCAGTGTGGTGAGATGGAGGGAGGAGACGGCCAGTAACTCAACTGTTATGACACACAGTGGTGAGCACTTGAATAAAGAGTCATGGGTGCTGTAGGGTATCCATAGTGAGGGCTTCCAGAAGGAAAGTATGTTTGATTGAACCATATTAAATAGCCACTATTCGATGTTCTTGAACTATGAAGATGGCGACTGAATATGATTCAGCCCAATACTTGAGCTGAGGTAAGAAAGGCCAGTAGGAGCCACTCAGTTGGAAAGGGGGCAGCAGGGGGTGTTTGGAAATATCTGGGGGCTTATTTTAGTCGTCACAGTGTCTGAATGTGGGGTGCTATAGGCATTCAGTGAGCAGGAGAGAGGGTTCCTATTGAAATGCACAGGATGGTCCTGCACAATGAAGAGTTCTGTTGTTGTTTTTGGTGCCATCAAGTCGATTCTGACCCCTAGGGATCCTGTAGACAGCAGAATGGAACTCTGCCTGGTCTTTTTGTGCCATCCTCTCATCTTTTAGTGCTATATCAGACAATTCTCCACTCTATTCATAGGGTTTTCATGGCCAATTTTTTCAGAAGTAGGTGACCAGGTCCTTCTTCCTAGTCTTTCTTAGTCTGGAAGCTCTGCTGAAACCTGTCCACCATGGGTGACCCTGCTGGTGTTTGAAATACTGGTGGCATAGCTTTCAGTATTACAGCAGCTGCCACAGTAGGACAACGGACATGTTTCCTGACTCCTAGTTAGAAATAGAGGCTGGGTTGAAGCTTGATTGGGGGAGGGGAACAAGACCACTTTATAAGTGGCATTGTGCCATGTGGGTATAAAGTTGCCTAAACTGATGTCAGCAACAGGAGTGAAAGGGAAGACTGTGAGCTTGTGCCAAAGTCTTCAAGAAGCGTGAAGAACTGATCAAGACTTTCAACTGACAGCCAGAGGGAGGGGAAGTGGATGGTCTAATGACATATATGTACTTCAAAGGAGGTGGTGGGGAAGGTATGTAGGAATGGATAAGTGCCATCATGGAAGCACAAGAACGCTGGTCTTCACTTTTTCCCGGCTTTGTGGTCATCTTGAGAAGACCATAGGGGAAATGATGTTCTCGCCATAAACTCAGATTTCAACTGAGGCAAGGGGATAGGGGAGTGAAAGATGGAAGGACAAGGAAGAGTTGCCAGGGAAGGCCAGAGTGGGACATTATGGAGATGAATTGAGGGCATACAACAGTATTGGGATAGAAGCATGAGAGGTATGAGAAAGGACAGATGAATGCAAGGGTTTGGATAGTAAACATGTTATTAATAATGTCTAGACTATTAAGCACTATGTGCTAATATCACTTGCTGAGATCGCTAATGTATTATCTCATTTAAACATGAAGTAGGTACTACTTTTATGCCCATTTTGCAGATAGAGAAACTGAGGGTCAAGAGAATTAAGGAATTTACCCAAGCTCATAGAGTCTTTAGAGATACAATGGAATTAGTTGGTCTCAAGTTTCCGACCAATCATCTGGCATAAAGATGTTTCTGTGTCAATGAAGACAGCAGCACCTGTGGTGTCTGATGCTCCTTGATGTTGGTTCTTTTGTTGGTTCTTTGTAGTCTTTATAGTCATGTGTATGCTCTGCTATTTGAGAAGGCATCAAAGTGGTAGAACATAGAACATTTCAGACTTTTTTTTTTGTATCAAAAAGACTTAAAAAGTTTGTTTCTTCAAGGAGAAATCTCCAGTTGTGATGTGGGCACCTTCTTCCCTTGCAGTGCCAGACACATATTACACTGTTGTGCTTTTCTTTCTTGTTAAATCACACTTTATTGAATAAAAGGTATGTTTTCCACTCATTCATTCATTCACTCAACAGATTTATTGAGCACCTTCTCTGTGTCAGACACCATTCTGGTCCCTGGGGATGAGCAAGACAAAGTCTTGTTTTCCTGTGACTTACAGAAGGAGAGACAGAAAACAAACAGGTAATCACATAAATGTATAGTATGAAAGCAAAATAGAGTCAGGAAAAGGGATAGAGATTGGGGCTGTGGGTGGGGGTGGAGAAGTTCTCCATATTTGTGAAGAACCTGTCGCAATTTACTCTCTTTCTCTCAGAAATGATGTGCATTTCTTCCCCTTGGCTGAGAAAGGAACCTAGATAAGATAAGGAAGGCAAGTATGATTAAATCTACCCAAGAGTGTAGTCTTCATTTTCTGAGATGAAATAAGGTCCATGGAGGACTATTGCACTAAGCCTTGGTTTACTCTGCCTGAAAGACAGGTCAGGAATTAGAATCCCTGACTGTAAACTATTCTTCATTGGATTGACTTTGCCACCAAGTGTCAAAACTCCAGTAGGAGGCTAACTCAAGTTAGAAAAAGTTAACTATGTCTTCAGACTGTGATTTGGTGATTTAATTAGCACAGAGCAACATTTATATCCACAGAGCGTGGTGATTTTGCAAATTCGTTTGCTTTCTACGGCTCCGGCTCAATTGAAACCAATAAACAATGATTATGCATAAATCTGGTACAATAATGTGGTTATAGAAAGTGCTGCATGGTACAACGTATTCTCCACTCCTTTAATTATTACAATGAGGTATTTTTAACAGTAAATGGTTATGAGTTTGGAAGGCTAGTATGGAAAACTTTTTTCAGTTTTCTTGTTTCTGCTCCCCTCCCCCTTCACTTGAATATCAATACTCTTTACGGGGATATATTAAGTTTAAATTCACCTAAATTCTAGGTGATGAAGAAAGCCTTGGATTTAGATTCATTCGGACTTAGGCTATAGTGAGCTAGAGCTTCAGAGGCCCAAATCCAGGGAAGACAGGAACTGCTGGATTCCTGAGTCATGAAATCCAGAGGCTGATCCAGGTAGGTACAGGATCCAAGGATGAAGGGACTGTTATGAGCTGAATTGTCTTCCCTAAAATTCATATGTTGAAGTCCTAACCTCCAGTACCTCAGAATGTGAATGTATTTGGAGGTAAGCTGTTTAAGGAGGTAATTTAGGTTAAATGAGGTCATAAGGGTAGGTCCTAATCCACCTGGTGTCCTTATAGGAAGAGGAAGTTTGGACACAGATATGCACAGAGGGAAGACCATGTGAAGACAGAGGGGGAAGGCGCCATCTACAAGCCAAGGGGAGAGGCCTCAGAAGGAACCAACTCTGCCGACACCTTGATCTTGGACTTCCAGCCTCCAGACTGTGAGAAAATTAATTTCTGCTGTTTAAGCCTCTCAGTCTGTGGTATTCTTCCTGGCAGCCCTGGCAGACTAACACCGAGGCTAAGAAGAGTAAATGGAAGCTGAACTCTGTTCCTTTGGGAGTTAGCACAGGGATTCATAAATTCACTCTTAACGCGGCCCATAAAAACCAAGTTTTTGCATGAGATCTTCAGTTCCTTACGTGAATTCTTCTGCCACAGAAGTTTTCTCACATGTATCTTACCCTTGATATTGGGATGGAACTACATTCATTGAGCAGAATAGTCTAGGCAAAACTTCATTCAAAAAAGTCCCACCTCACTTAATTCTCTGGCAGCAATTTATTTACATCTCAAGACAGAAGCTGACAGTATGGTTCTTCTAGAAAATTGTAAAGGGTGTCTTTGTGTCCCCCGATCCTGCTCCCAATAACAAGAGACTCAGAAAGCTCTGTCTTCTGTTTTATGGTACCCCTAATGGCCTACCTTTGGCATTTTGTTTAAGGTGTGTAGGGTAGAGGTTCCAAATACAGAAAGGGGAGGTGGCATCTGTCTCCTTTAATAAAATCAAGTCTTAGGTAATTACAATGATTGCCTGGACCTTCTTTCATCACCCGGTTCCCGCATCTCCCAGGATTGGACACGTGATGTGCGGTCTCATTTGGACCAGATGTTACGTCTCACTTGCTGCAGGGATTCCATTGCTTAGTTTCCACCCTCAGGGCTCTCTGCCAGGGCTTGCCCTGCCTCCTGCCTCTTCCTGCCAACACCACCCTGCTCCGCTCA